CGCCAATTATCCATTCTACAACGCAGTGCCTCCTGAAGGGACTTCCATGCTCTGTGTTTCTGATTTAGCTTAAGGTAAGCCTGACTCAAGTTGTTCCAAACTTCAAAACTGTCCGGTTCCAACACACTACATCTTCTGTAAGCCTGGGCACACTTTTCCCAGTCTTCAATTTGCATGGCACAATAGGCTAATCTCTGCCAAACAGGGAACTGTAATTTATTGATTTCAACACTCTTCTCATAATGTACCGTAGCATTTTTGTAGTCTTTCCTCACATAATAATAATTTCCCAAACATCTTTGTGCCCTTCCGCTCCTATGGTTGGACATCCCAAGCTTTATTGTAGCATTCAATATCATCAGTAGCATCACCTAACAAGCACCACAACTTTGGAGTTTCCTTTTTATTCATCTCTGTCATAATGACCTCGGCTGATCTTTGACGCATCTGCAGCTCATTATAGCATGTGATGACATCTTCCCACAGCTGTAGTCTTTCAAACACCTCCAAAGCTGTCTTGACACAACCTAATCTCATAAGCATCTTGGCTAATTCTTGCTGTAGTTCCCACTGAGGGGTTACAAGTGACGTGTGCAGCAGCTTAAGTCTCTCGTATCTGGATGGTTCTTCTCGGTTCACTGCAGCCACCAGTTCCTCAACCTGGGTTAGAGAACGCTCCATGGCTCTAGACTGACTGATCTCTACCCTTGACCGTAAAAATAAGGCTGACATTTGGAGACACCAGTTCTTTGGGTACTGTAGGAGTGCAACAAGGAATGCCTTTGTTTCCTCATCGAGTTGTAGATCTTCAGCTGCAGACCTTCTTTTATGCGTAATTATAGCAAGTAACAATGCTTGCTCTATTGGTCGTAAATCAGGAATAACATCCTCATCTTCCTCCTTAAATTTAAATCTGTGAAGACGGGTATCATCATTCAGAATAACATCCTTGGGCAAGTCAGCGGCTAAAAGACGGTCCTCCTGGGAGTTCACCCTCCATGATTGGGCGTCCAGGGTACTCGACCTTCACAACCAGCTGTGGAAGGTCATTCTGCTGCCACTTTGTTCGCTTGCCAAGTGCGCCTGTCAAACTAGCTTTTATCTCCAGTGCATCCGCTGCTTTTTGGAAGTGATCCCCTGCTCTTCCTACATCATAGTAGTAGAGGTGCAGATGACCAGCTTCCAAATGGTAGAGAGCATTCAGGTCTCTTGAGATGTTTCTGCTCAACAAGTCTGCATTGTTCTCTACTTGATTGAGAGCTTGAAGCAGAATTTCATACAGCTGTGGGGATCGTTCATCTGCTACCAACTGGTGCAAGAGTGAGCACCGGACACACCACCAATCTACTGTTAGGCACGTTGAAAGGGAAGAACGCATGTCTGTCAAAATAAGCTTTGCCAGGAGAAGGTACTCTGGCCCATGCAGCAAATTATATACACCTTCTGTATCACCTACAAGAGCCTGAAGAGCTTCCTCTCTGACCTCTTCTTCCTTTTTACCCTCTGGAATGAGCCCAGGCAACAAAGAGCTCGATGCTGGACCAATCAGAGGCCCAGTAAAGTTATTTTGTGCAAATAGCTGAAGCGACGATATGCCAATGCAAAGTACAATGTGTTGTTTTATGAGGTGCCGATCCACTGTCACTGAGATAAGAGGACAATATGGACCTGTAATGTTCTGTGACGGAAACGGTGGCTTCCCGTTTCGAGCCGGCATTGGCCCCTAGTGCCTGCTGACATTCTTGGTCTTGAAGAGCCGCTACATAGCTTCCCACTGACACAAGCTGACACACATTCTGCCAAGCATCACCTGAAAATGAACATTTACGTGATTAGGCATTGCAAAAAAATTTTTTAAGCTAAAATCACATTAAGGGACACTCATCCATGGCCATCTGAATAACCTCACACATCGAGACAAGGAAAATAAAGTGGTAATTCTAATTTTCTTTTAGTCTTCTTCCGTCAGCTTTCAAACGCATCTAATGGCTCTAATTATCTACAATATACTTCCTACAAACTGGCCATCTCTACCACATCTTCTGGGCAGAATTAACAGAACTAAAAATATGTAAAGATATAATGAAAAATTACTTGAAACTTAAAAAGTTTACATGAATCAAATTTTTCATGTTTATAATAAAACTGAAATATATACATGTGTGTGTGTGTGTGTGTGTGTGTGTGTGTGTGTGTGTGTGTGTGTGTGTGTGTTGTGTGTGTGTGTGTGTGTGTGTGTGTGTGTGTGTATGTGTGTGTGTATATGTGTGTGTGTATATGTGTGTGTGTGTGTGTGTGTGTGTGTGTGTGTGTGTGTGTGTGTGGTGTGTGTGTGTGTGTGTGTGTGTGTGTGTGTGTGTGTGTGTGTGTGTGTGTGTTATATATATATGTACATAAGTATATTACCACTATAAGTATTATGTATTTCTTCACTAGATGTGGGTATCACGGATCTAGTAACAATGTGTGTTAACAGGCAAAATTCTGAATGTATCCAGAA